TTGCTCAGTATAAATGGACTCTAATTCAAAACAAATCTGTACCAACAATTAGCTCAATTATTTCCATATTATATCTCAAAGCTTTTAGAAATATCTGTATTCCCAATTCAGTGCTTTATCTCGGCATGGCCACATATTAATATACATGTAGTCCAATAAATGTAATTAATTAATGAATTAGTAAATCTATTCTTTAATATTTTCAATAAAATGGTGTCGCTGGACTATTTCACAGAAGATGGGTCTGAATGCTTATAGAAAATCACAATTTTGCATTGTCTCTTTCTGTGAATTCAGTATTTTAATATGACTGCATTAGGTGATGTGCACTAAAAGACTATAGATATATTCAAGTCATATAGAAATAGTAAATTTACAAAATGACTGACAATGAATATGATTTCTCACCCACAATTTGATTAAAGTCTTGAAAAAGGTATATACGGGCCCCAATTTTCTTTTTTTTTTAAATTTTATTTTTGTAAGCTTTTTATTTTTTTATTTTTTATTTTTTTTCGTATATGATTATATTTTTGGTTTTACTTGCTATTGTTATGAATTGTATGTAGGTCACGTTAATTTAGGCAATAATAGTGAACTAGCGACAATTTAGTATTTAAAAATATGTGCCATTATATTATAATTATAATAACTCCAAAAGCATTAATTTTGAGTGAAATTCTGAATCTTTCTCATATCAACCTCATTGATTACCTCTATATAGATTTAATAAACAGATAAACAAAATGCATAAAAAAACATGTTATTTGTAATATAGTATTTAGAAATGTCTAGCTTTCATATTTCAATATTTTCCACAAAAATTAATACTTTAAAACTATTTTTCAGAAATTTGTTATGCATTATTCTCTGTATAACCAAACATATATACACGTAAAAAAACAGCAGGATATAGAGGATATATCACTTTGACAGCTTGTCCTTAACAAGAAATCGTTTTTTGGGAACCTGCATACATACACACAAGTATTAAGTATGTTTTTTACACATGCACAGTGACTGGTTGGCAAAAGATCAAGTTATTTGCATCCAAAGATAAAATAACAGCGTTGCTCGCTGTCAGGGTTTACTGAAGGTATAAAATGGCACAGTTCTCGGCAACTGTTATAATTATGAGCCATCAGAATTATGTTTTGTGCGCATGCACAATGACTGGTCGGCAAAAGAACCGATTGTTTGCATCCATAGATAGAATAACAGGTTGGTAAAAATTCAAACATGTTAGTTATGATCTGTGCATATGCTAGGTAACACAAATTGTGTACCAACATTTACACATTAGAAAATTATACCAACAAATAAAACTCCTGGTCCTATAACAAATATATAATAAATCCATAAACATAAGTAATATTATTTCTAATCAATCAATTCCACTCATTATTCTGCAATTGAGAGTTCACGAATAGTTTAAGATTTGGTGAAAATAAAATATTAAATATGCAAAGAGAAAATTATACCATAGTTTTTGTATGATTATGAAAACAGGAAATGTAATAACCCAGTTTCTATATCAACTTTCAGTCGTAACCAATTTTAAGTGACTTGCAAGATTAAAATGAAACCGTACCAAAGATGTCAGACGTCAGATATTAAAAATGCAACCCTATGTGATGTACTCTACCTCAGATCAAACCAACTCAACACTGCAAATGCAAGAAATTTCAGCGAGTTTGTTTTCGTAAAACCGGTTCAATATGCTCCACATGATTAGAAACCAAAATGTGTGCGATGTCAATTATGTTAATTACATTTCTGCAACGAAATATTATTTATATCAACAACACCCAAAGGACTTTAAAAATTATTCATTATAATAACTAAATATAGTAAATTACTCGAACCATGACATATGAACTCATTTGAACATGTAGTGAGTATGGATGAAAGGATATGTTGACTCGTTACCTTTCTCTTGAAGACAGACATGGTTGAATATTGGATAAAATGTCACCTCTGATAATTATTACTCATGTCAGCCACTGTGCTGGCTCTGTACTTCAAGCCACATAAAGAATGTTGTGAAAGATCTACTGCAGGTGGGTGATTCCATTATCACTTGGAGGGGGTAACTTAGCAACAAACTACAATAACTGACAATCTTTCAGGTTTTACCTTCACATCAGCATATAATTAAAAGTCTAATCTTTATTGTAATTTAGTGATTCCAAACAACTCTCCAGAAAACTGAAAACCCTCATAGGATCGAAATTTAAAAGTAATCATGAATATTATTTTCTTTCAACAGTAGAATTACGGACATGTGGTGAAGAAATCCAGGAATACTTAATTAATTATTCATGCTTATTTAAACATTTTTACGAGGTCTATTGTGACGGAGTTAAAAAGTAAATCAATAAAAATACCAAAGCATTCAATAATTGTATTAGGGCTCAATAAAAAAATTTCAAATGTCTACTGCCATCTTGAATTTTCAAGGTGAATGTTCCGGAGAAGCACTCCACTATCACCTTGAAGTATTTCATTAAAACTATGTGTATGTGACAATGCCCTCACAGTTTAGAATCA